CACTATACATCCTACAGATATTAAACAAGTAAAAAGCTTCTCAGGGCATTCAGAAAGAGAAAAGATGACCCACAGAATGGGAGAAAATATTTGCAAATCATGTATCTGATAAAACATGTATCTAGAATACATAAAGAACTCTTGTAACTCATTAGTAAAAAAGCCAAAAAGCTCAACTGAAAGATGAGCAAAGTGGGGCACCTTGGTAGCTCAGTCAGTTAAGCATCCGACTTCAGCTCGTGATGATTTCACAGTTCTTAGGTTTGAGCCCCGCATTGGGCGCAGTGCTGACAGCTCAAAGACTGGAGCCTGCTTCAGATTCTGTGTCTCCCTCTCTTTCTGCCCCTCCCCCACTTGTGCGCGCGCTCTCTCTCTATCTCTCTCTCTCAAAAATAAAAAATTTAAAAAAAGAAGATGGGCAATGAATCTGAATAGTCATTTCCTCAAAGATAAACAAATGACTGGTCATGTAAAGATGCTCCATATCATTAGCATTGGGGAAATGCAAATCAAAACCATAATGAGATATCACTTTACATTCACTAGGATGACTAAAGTAAAAAAGATAATAAGAAGTGTAACAGATAACAGATAATAACAAAGATGTGGAGAAATTAGAACCCTCATACTTTGCTGAATATAAAATGGTACAGCTGCTTTAAGACAGTCTGGCAAAACCTTTACACGAATGTTCATAAAAGCATTATTCATAATAGCCCAAAACTAGAAACAACCCAAATTTCCTTCAAATGATGATCCAATAAACAAAATGTGGTATAGCCATACAATGGAATATTATTCAGCTGTAAAACTGAATGATATATCTGTTTGTTAACTGGAATTTAAATAAAAATGTAAAACAAAGGAATTATATACTGATACATGCTAAAACAGAGATGAATCTTGAAAACATTATGTGAAATAAAAGAAGCCAGTCACAAAAGACCATATATTGTATGATCCCATTCATATATAATTGTCAGGATGGGCAAATCTATAGAAAAAGAAAGTAGATCAGTGATTGCCTATTGCGAGGTAGGGTGACTCAGAAAAATGGGGAGAAACTACTAAGAGATATGGAGTTTCTTTGGGGAGATGAAAATGTTCTGAGATGGATTGTAGTGATGGTTGTGCAACACTGTGAACACACTAAAAATCATTGCATTGTACACTCTAAGTGAGTTAACTGTATAGTGTGTTAATTATATCTTCAAAAACCTGTTCATAATATGAAAGGATATTATGAACAAACTTACACAAAAAAAGTCTACTTAGATGAAATGTTCTTTTAAAAATTCATTAGAATAAACACAAAAAGAAATAGAAAATATGAATAATCATAATCTGTTAAAGATATTGAATCTGTAGGGGCTCCTGGGTGGCTCAGTCAGTTGAGCATCCAACTTTGGGTCAGGTCATGATCTCACAGCCTCGTGGGTTCAAGCGCCGTGTTGGGATCTGGACTGACAGCTCAGAGTCTGGAACCTCCTTCAGATTCTGCGTCTCCCTATCTCTCTACCCCTCCCCTGCTCACACTCTATTTCTCTTTTTCTCTCTCTTCTCAAAAATAAATAAACATTTTTTAAAAGATATTGAATCTGTAATTAAAAATCCTCCCATATAGAAAATTTCAGGCTAAGATGTTTCATAGGTGAATTATTCCAAACATTTAAGGAAGAAATAATACCAATCTTACTTTGATAGATGGGCTTAATCCACTTACATTTATTATTGATATATTTTAACTTATTTCTACAATAGTTTTTTCTTTTTCTATATTTTACTGATACCTATTGGATTTATGAAATCCATTCCTAACTCCCACTTCCACTTGTTTGAGAGGGTTTAGATTGTATTTTTATTCTTTTGGTGGTCACCTTGAAGTTTTTGACATAGTATTTTCCTAGAAGAGTCTAAAGTTACTCAGAATTTCTCTCCTAAACATGCCTGCTTTAAGTATCAAAGACCACTTTAACCACCCATTGAACACCCACAAACACTGCTCAAGCTAATCTTACTATCTTTGTGTTAGAGCTTAGATTTTACCACTTTAAAAAAAAAATGTTTATTTATTTTTGAGAGAGAGACACAGTGTGAGCAGGGAAGGGGCAGAGAGAGGGAGACACAGAATCCGAAGCAGGCTCCAGGCTCTGAGCTGTCATCACAGAGCCCAATACAGGTCTCAAACTCATGAACCCTGAGTTCCTGACCTGGGCCAAAGCCAGATGCTTAACCAACTGAGCCACCCAGGCGCCCCTAGATTTTACCACTTTTAGGCAGGTTTTTTTTTTTGTTTTTTTTTTTACAAATAGTTTATTGTCAAGTTGGTTTCCATATAACACCCAGTGCTCATCCCCACAAGTGCCCTCCTCCATGCCCATCACCCCACCACCACCCACACCTATCAGTCCTCAGTTTGTGGTCAGCATTCAAGAGTCTCTCATGGTTTGCCTCTCTCCCTCTACCCGACTATTTCCCCCCTTCTTCTCCCCCACCGTCCTCCATTAAGTTCCTCCTAATCCTCCTATATGTGCAAACATATGATAAATGTCCTTCTCTGCCTGACTTATTTCGCTCAGCATAACACCCTCAAGGTCCATCCATGTTGCTACACATGGCCAGATTTCATTCTTTCTCATTGCCATGTAGTATTCCATCATATAGATAAACCACATTTTCTTGATCCATTTGTCCATTGATGGACACTTAGGCTCTTTCCATGTTTTGGATATTGTTGAGAGTGCTGCTATGAACATTGGGGTCCGTGTGCTCCTATGCATCAGCACTCCTTCCTATATCCCTTGGGTAAATTCCTAGCAGTGCTATTGCTGGGTCATAGGGGAGTTCTATTGTTAATTTTTTGAGGAACCTTCACACTGTTTTCCAGAGGGGCTGCACCAGTTTACATTACGACCAACAGTGTAGGAGGGTGCCCATTTCTCCACATCCTCGCCAGCATCTAGAGTCCTCTGATTTGCTCGTTTTAGCCACTCTGACTGGCGTGAGATGGTATCTCAGTGTGGTTTTGATTTGTATTTCCCTGATGAGGAGGGATGCTGAGCATCGTTCCATGTGTCTGTTGGCCATCTAGATGTCCTCTTTGGAGAAGTGTCTGTTCATATCTTCTGCCCATTTCTTCACTGGGTTGTTTGTTTTTTGGGTGTGGAGTTTGGTGAGTTCCTTATAGATTTGGGACATTAACCCTTTATCTGATATGTCATTTGCAACTATCTTTTCCCATTCTGTGGTTGCCTATTAGTTTTATGGATTGTTTCCTTTTAGGAAGGTTTTTTTATTTGTTACAATCAATAGTTAATTAAATGTACTTTTTTTAAAAAAAGCTTTTGAAGTGATTTTTGAGAATCTCTTTTCAGAGACTTTAAAAGAGGCCCAGTGCCTGCCTGATACAGGGTAGGTGCTCGTAAATGAAATCCACCATCTCCCGCCTTCCAGTACACAGAGTTGTTTGCCTCTTTAACATAAGATGTGTGTGCTCAGTGAGCTTGGATTCCTCTAGGTTGGATCCATTTCATGGACAGTTGTCAAAGACTGACCTCTCCTTATGTTAATTTTGTGAATACTTTTACTTGACTGTGCAGTAAGCTAAGCGTTGCAGGATTAAATGTTCTCATTTCTGAGCTGTGAAGTGTTGAAACTGATCAGGAAATGAAGGCAGAATGTCCGTCCTTTGAAAGAAGAATCAGCCAGTCTATGTTGTTGCCACTCTTGGCTGCTGATTGGAATGCAGCTGTTAAGGCAGCTGTTTTACTGTTTGCCCAACTTGAAAGGACACTGCCAAGTGGCAAATATTTTTCATAACAACATTTTACTTTTGCTAGGAACAACAATGCATTTTATTGAGCTCCAGTAGTGTGCCAAATATGACAGATTTATTACTCAGCAGGTTCACAACCTAGACTGAGCATGGATGCTCATTTCCATTCCTAATATTTATAAAAAGAATAAATAAGCCCCAAAGGAAGCCTTTGCACAAAACATCTCTACAGCTTAATTGTTGGAATGACAGCTGATTAACTTGTGAAAATTAAATATCTCTGAAAAGAAAAATGAAAATCTTGAAATGTCAAAGGAAAAAAGGAAGGGTTAAATATTTTAAACCTTTCTAATGTGACCAAAGAGTTATTTCACCCCACCTGTCCAAGACAGTAGTAGCGGTAGCACAGGAAATGCAGCATCTTCTGAATCCCCTGCAATTCATGGGTTCCATTCTGGGTCATGTGGTAAATCTGTGTTGTTAATTAAAATACTGACAGTTAGTACTTAGTAAATAACTGTGTTGAATTTGACAGGCTGTGACTGGATGGGGTAGGGTTGAGAGACTATCAACTATTTTATTTAATGGTAAAAGCAGTATGCCAAATATAAGCATTCAAAATTAAGAAAGCACATTTAAATGCATAAGTATGATTTTCTTCCAAACCCCAAAGTGCAAAGATCATGATCGTTTTAGGTTGCTTTCCATCCTCAATATATTCTCCCTAGTCAGAAGTTCATAGCTTCAAAAAGGCTTATGGAGAAATGCTCTAGGCATGTAGAGATCCTGTACCCACCTATTGTTTGTTCCAGTTGAAGTGATAGTAAAAGTCAACCTTAACCACTGTTAATAGCATTTCGTGTGTTAATAGCATTTCGTTAATAGCATTTCATGTGTAATTCCCACAAGCCTTTATCAAGACTTCAGGGGTTGGGCCAGAGGGATGCATTCTCATTTTAATAAACCACCACTATCAGAGCTTGAGTGGGGATATTTCTGAAGGAGAACTGGGAGGTTCTGATTTGTGTTTTCTCTACTGTTTAATAAATGGTAATTAAATCATAAATGACAGGTCTAGTCAGCCTATTTCCTCAAATTGCAAAAGCTTACATTGACACAAAGTTGACATGAGTTCTTGAAGAAAGAGGGGCAAAGTTTCACACACTGGGTAATGGTTACCGAGGGACTCAGTCAGCCACACAAGATTTGTACCCTTGCTTTTCAGAGATATAATAAACCAGTAAATGCAAATCATGGATGAAATTTATAAGATCGCTTCCACAGAAAGGATCCAGCAGCTGGAAAAAGAACTGGCTTTGCAACTCACTGAACTAAAGTCTGAGATAGAAGAACAGGAGACTCATCGAGCTTACAGGTAAATTGTAGTAGTGAGAAGGCATTGTCTTCAGGGGCTTTAGCCCCCATTTTCACCCCATAATCTCCATTAACTCCTTCTTGTTTTTTAAATAGACAATTGTCATCTCAAGCTCAGATTTTATGGCTGGCCATAAGTTTTCCCTATATTCTAGTATTGACAAGACATTTAGAGGCAATATCCTACCAAGGAAAATAGAAAAGTGCTCTTACATTTCACAAATACCACTGTTTTAAAGTTCCAGATGCTATTATGCAAATCATACTCCATGCAAAGAGGTCTCATTTTTTCCAAAAATATTTTAATTGAATTTGACCTTGATTTTGATGAGGCATATAAAAACTGAAATAATATTAGATATTTGGTAATGAATTCTGCCAAATGGTATTTTATTAGGAACTTTTCTATAGGTAAATGCCGCCAATGATAGCAGTCTCTTTGGGCGAAACAAGGTAACCAGATAAGCCCCTAAGTGGCAAATCTTTTAGGCTCAGGACCTTCAGATCCCTCTCTTTGTATAATTGCTACAATCGATCAAGAGGAACAATATGAGGTCCCTGTTAGATTGAGTAGCCAAGTAAACATAATGTGGATGGTGAGGGGTGGGGAGGGGAGATCAGGAGAAGCAGCAGTAAATAGGTGCATTACTACCTCATTCCAAAGATGATTCTGAAGAACCAGTATTTAATGCATTCTATAATGTATTTAAAGCCACTGGTTATAGGAAGCAGACCAAAGACTGTAAGATGAAGCTAAAAGGGAATGGAACCATGCAAGTCACTATTTCTCTCAACTTTGGTTTCTTTCTGTGAAAAATGAGGTTACATATATGTAACTTGCCTATCTCATAAGGATCAAGTGAAGTAATGCACGTTAAAGCACTTTGAAAACTAGAAGACATCATACAAATATCGAGTGTCGATATTATTACAACTTGAGTGTCTCAGTGTCAAACAAGTGGCTCCTCTTTGTACATTGTGATAGAAAGGCTTCCTGAAGTCTCTTTTATCTTTTAGAATAGAGTGATGGGAAATCTCTGGACACTTGTATTTCTCTACTCCCCCCAAACCACTAAACACTGCACCTGGAAGAATCTACCTATTAATTCAACAAATACTGAACACCTTCTATTTGCCAGGTGTTGTGTTAGGTTCTGAAGTCCAAAGAAAATGGAAGATGTCCACCCCATATAATACCTTTAATGTTCTCATTACCCACTATATTAAAAAATTTATTAAGAACTGTAGCATAATGGCACCTTGGTAATTTTTATTTCTTTTTTTAATCTGTTTTCTTTGGTCAGTTTACCCCTATAAGCCTAGGTCGTTGTAGTGGTTAAGCGTCTCATAAGTGCTTGCTGAATGAATAAATGAATGTATATTGAATAAACAATCCTAAATAAACACATGGGTGAATTTTTGTGGGTTGTGGTACACACCACTCTTTAGATCATTCATACATACTTTGAGATGAACTGAGATGAAAAACATGATTTGAGTAAGAGGTGTAGGCAGCTAAGCCCGAGACACTGCCCAATCATCCAGCATGCCAAAAAAATTAGAAGACAAGAGGCCAGGAAAGGGGTGGGTTTCTTCTGTTTCCCTGACTGCCTGTTCCCTTTCTAGTTGGTTACAGGTTCTCCACCTCCATGAGGCTGCAATCAGGATTCAGGCACCCAGGACTCACCGAAACTATAGCTTTGATTTATTAATGCTTTTACTCTTAAGGCTTTTTCAGAGCTTGCCTGAATTTTGTCATCAAATCCAAGATGTGAGGAGATGGGGAGGCATTATCTCCAACTTCAGTAGGGAATTCAACACAAATGACTCAGTGGGTTGCTTAGACTCATGCAGCTGAGGGACCTCTTGTCTGGTCTTTTCACAGGACCACTGCCTAGAGTGGGGGTGGGGAGACTGCTGACAAGTGTACAAACTAACAGTCCATGTTCATCTTTCCTTAAAACTTACCCATGGGGACTAATAGGGTCATATGAACAACGTTAACCTAAATTTCACTGCCTACAACCCCTCTTAAATCTCTAGGTGGTTTCTCACATGCGTTTCACAGCTACCTTCTGTTGCTTCCTTGCCAATGTCTGCAAACTTTCATCTGGAGAAAGTGATGTCTATACCAGGGTTGCTGGACCCTGATGTTCCCAAAGCTGCCAAGCCTTGGGGTGTACCTTACCCCAGATGGGGAGAGCTCCCTTCTTCCTTTCACAGGGTGGTGCCCCTCCCTCCCCACTACTGGGCCCCACAGCAGTGCTGCTTGGACCTTCTCATGTCAGAGCCCCTGAAGCAAACAACTCCATCGTGGCTAGGCTCAGACAATACAACTCAGTTAAAATAATTTCCAAAGTATTTCATGTTTGATAAATTAGAACACAAAAATAAAAACATCTTGTTTAAATTGATACTAGTTTTATGTAGGGTGAGAGAGACATCCGATAAACACAGTACTCATTAGAGGTAAGTTTGCTGGAGGAAATGTAGGTGGGGGAAAGAAAAATCTTCACCATTGTGGCTCTTCTGGTGCTCTGGAATTGAACATAGAGAGGTAAATCAAGGAGAGCAGGAGAGACCATGTTAGGGTGAAGGAAAGGAAAATTGGCCCATGGAAAGGCTTAGAAAACATGAGGTAGACACAAGAGAGATTCAGACTAAGACAGAAGCACATGGTCTTTACATACTCTCAATAATCCAGTATAATATGAATAGTTACTTAGAAATGAGCAGTTGTGAAGAGTTAAAGAGTAATCAGGGCCTATCCATAATTTGGTTTATTACAGTTTCTATAATTACAGCTTCTATTGCATAAATCTTTCTACAGCTCTATTCGAATACCAAAGGACATTTCTTACTTTAGAAGAGAAAGGGAATTGGCTCTAAAGAAAACTTTACAGGTGAGTAGGAGAGTGTAATTGTAATACACAATTGTGTTATAATACAACAGTACACTGGATTTTGCTAACTTCTTGGAAACATTTAGCGGGAAAACCTTATTTTTGCAAACAACCAGCTGATGTTATTGACAGTGTTATGAGAACAAAACAGCCCAATGCTCACTGCTAGATCAGAGCAGGCCACTACCTTTTTGGAGATACCTACTTTTAGTGATGTTTTAAAATTTTACAGTTGCTTGATTCGTGCTATTACAATTCGTTATTTGGAAATCAAGGTATAACGGTATATAACATGTTGTGTAAAAACTATCAGGAATTGGATGTCATTTGTTGTCGTAAACAATGATAATTTTTCTTCCTTATTTGTTTGCCCGCTCTGCTGCCGGGGGTTCAGGTGGCTGAGTCAAAGCCCCTTGTTGTTCAAGCAGATGTCATGCAGAGGGAGCTAGAGAGCTGCCTAAGAAGAGAGTACACTCCTGAAAATTTACCTTTGCTTCTGTTGCAGGTAAGAGTCATGTTGCAATTTGAAAAACAGATCTGAAAAATAACAGAAGTTTAGTTATAGTCACTAAACAGTTGACTCAGTTACTATCAATTACCCCTTGTGCTGGTATTATGAGGGAATATAATATTTAGAAAGTGTCAGCCCTCAAAAAGCTGTTGACTTGCTAGGAAATGTATTTCTGAAAATGTAATTTAAGAGGATAACTCAAAATTGTGGTAGAAAACATTTTCCATAAATATTATTATTGCAACATTACAATAAAAGTGAAAAAATCAGAATTGCCTAAATATCTAACAACAGGAGAAAGAGTTAAGAGAAATAGCATGATACCAGATAGAATATTGTTCTACCATGAAACATTTTTGAGCATAAAAAAATGTTCTGTTATTATGTAATATTAGTTAACAAAAACTTGAAGGACATAGACCAAAATGTTAGCAGTCACTGTCTTTGGATGGCAGAACAATGAATTTCTTCTTTTTACTTTTGCGTATTTTCAAAATTTCTTATAATAAGCATGTATTGTTTTGATTTTTAAAACTCTTTGTTTTTTACTCTTGTGTTGAGTTATATCTTCATTCTGCATACAAATTAGTTCATTAGCAACTAGTTAGCAATTAATGAGTACATTAATCACAAAGAAATAAAAGATGTTGAGATTCTATTTGCCAATAAAATTTTTGTCATTATCTTCATCTAAGATTCTCTTTCCTATCATTTTGGCACTCTTCATTCTTTTGTATATATCTGTGATTGTCAGTGGAGAGAAGGGGAGAGTGGAGATGGTAGACATTTGGCAGTGTCTGGAGACATTTTGTCACAATTTGGGGAGAGGAGTGGATTCCTACTGGCATCTAGTGGGTAGAAGCAAGAGATGCTGCTCCACATCCTACTATGCACAGAACAGCCCCACCGCAAAGAATTATCCAGTCCCAAATATCAATAGTGCTGGTTTTGAGAAACCTTGGTGTAGCCAAAGCTTCCATATGATAACTTTTATCTTCTGCCTAGAGAACAGACTTTAGGGGCGCCTGGGTGTCTCAGTTGGTTAAGCTTCTGACTTCAGCTCAGGTCATGATCTCACAGTTCATAGGTTCGAGCCACATGTTGAGTTGTGCACTGACAGCTCAGAGCCTGGAGTCTGCTTCAGATTCTGTGTCTTTCTCTGCCCCTCCCCTGTTTATGTTCTCTCTCAAAAATAAATAAATAAACATTTTTTAAAAAAAACAGACTTTAACATTTCTTTTTAAAAAAACAGACTTTAACATTTTTTGTACTGCAGATCTGCCAGGGATAAATTCTCTGTCTTTGTTTTTTGCAAAAAGTCTTTATTTTGCCTTCATTTTAGAAAGATTTTTTTGTTCAATGTAAAATCCTAGGTTGATAATTCTCGTTTATCATTTTAAAGATACTGCTCCATTGTCTTTGATTGCATAGTTTTCACTTCCTAACACAATGTGTCCTTTTGTTCTATGGGTGCTTTTAAGATTTTCTCTTAGGGGTGCTGAGTGGCTTAGTCTGTTGGGCATCCAACTTTGGCTCAGGTCATGATCTCACCATTCCTGAGTTCAAGCTCTGCATTGGCTGTGTTGACAGCTCAGAGCCTGGAGCCTGTTTCAGATTCTGTTTCCCTCTCTCTCTCTGCCCCTCCCCTACTTGTGCTTGTTCTCTCTCAAAAATATATAAACATTTTTTAAAAATTAAAAAATAATTTTTTAAAGATTTTCTCTAATGGTTTTAAGCTATTTGACTGTGGTATTCCTTGATGAAGTTTTCTTTGTGTTTCTCTTGCTAGAAGTTGGTTGACCTACTTGGATTGTGATTTTATCATTTTCATCAGTTTTTGCAAGTTTTCAAATATTATTTCTTTAAACATATTTTCCATCTCCTTCCTTCCTTCTGGGACTCTAGTTAGAAATTTGTTCAATCACTTCATATCATTCCGTAAGACAATGAACCTCTGTTAATTTACTTTCATTCCTTTTTTTCCCCTCAGTGCTTCATTTTGTAGTTTTTATTGCTATATCTTCAAGTTCACTAGCCTTTTCTGCTGCACTAAGCTGCTGTTAATCATATACAATGAATTTTTCATTTGATATATTATAGTTTTCATTTGTAGTTCTATTTGAGATTTTTGATATTTTTCATTTCTCTCCTAGTTATGTTCACATTTTCCTTTTAGTCCTTTTTTTAAATGTTTATTTTTGAGAGAGCAGGGGAAGGGCAAAGAGTGAAAGGGAGACACAGAATCTGAAGCAGGCTACAGGCTCTGAGCTGTCACCAAAGAGCCTGACACAGGGCTCAAACCTACGAACCATGAGATTTTGATCTGAACCAGTCAGATGCCTAACTGACTGAGCTACCCAGGTGCCCCTTCTTTTCAATCCTTGAACATGCTGAGCATATTAGTATATTAGCTTTTTTAAAGTTCTTATTTGCTAATTTCATCACTCGTGCCATTTCTGGGTCTGTTTCTGTTCATTAATTTTTCTCTTGCTTTTGGACCACATTTTCCCGCTTCTTTGCATGTCTAGTAATTTTTTTGGACACTGGACATTTCAATCTTACATTTTTGAATGCTGGTTTTTAAAAAATTTACATCCAAGTTAGTTAGCATATAGTGCAATAATGATTTCAGGAGTAGATTCCAGTAATCAATCCCCTATGTATAACACCTAGTGCTCATCCCAGCAAGTGTCTTCCTTAACGCCCATTACTCTTTTAGCCCATTCCCACACCCACAACCCCTCCAGCAATGAATGCTGATTTTCAAAAATCTTTTTTTTTTAAGAGTATTGGTGTTTACAAAAACTGAGGACTGATGGATGTGGGGGGGAGGGGGGGATGGGCATGGAGGAGGACACTTGTGGGGATGAGCACTGAGTGTTATGTGGAAACTAATTTGACAATAAACTATTTGTAAAAAAAGATATATATATATATATTTAATAAATAATACTTTAATATTATACCAGACATTCATCTTTACTATACTTGCTTTCATCTAGTTATTAAAATATACTTTTCTCTATGTTTATTTAGATCTTCTCTCCCTAATAGGCTAATGATTAGTCTAGTTAATGGGGCATGTGGGTATGTTTATGTCTCTGTGTGTGATGAAACATGGAAAAATGAAAAATATTGAAATGCCAAGTTAAGTCCTATGGAATGACTAAAAGGCATTACTTGAACAGATCGTTGCTGGTAAGAATAGCTTATGTTCGGGGCACCCGGGTGGCTCAGTCGGTTGGGCATCCAACTTTGGCTCAGGTCATGATCTCACAGTTTGTGGGTTCTAGCCCCGGGTCGGGCTCTGTGCTGACAGCTAGCTCAGAGCCTGGAGCCTGTATGAGATTCTGTGTCTCCCTCTCTCTCTGACCCTCCCCTGATGATGCTGTCTGTCTCTCTCAGAAATAAATAAAACATAAAAAAAATTAAAAAAAAATAAGAGTATTGGTGTTTATTCTGACAGGTATTTAAGTTGTAGATCAGCTTCGTACTTTCAAGACTTGGTATCAAGTTTTAGTAGATCAAGTTTAGACTAACTTTCACTCAGGATCATTTATCCTTATTACTAAAGTGTAACTCTTCTGGTGTCTCCACTGAATTTGTCAGGTGGCAAAGAGGACTCTCCTCTCTAATTGGAACTTGAACATCTCTTGTCCCTGTATGAACTGTGAGGACTATTCAGTTTACAATTCCCTAGTCAGTTATTCTTTGCATGGCCTCATGGAGTTTTACCCTCTGTATGCATAGTTTAATAGTCAGCAAAAAACTCAAAGAGATCTCCATGCAGATTTCTGGAGCCCTTTCTCTGCATAACATCCCTCTCTCCAGTACTGTCCCCTGCAAATTCCAGTTAACTCAGCCTCCTAAGCTTCAATCTCTCTCCTTAACTCAGAGAGAGTGTCGTGCTCTGCTTGGGATTCCCCCTCTTATTCTGTGGTTCAGAAATTACCTTCTTCAGGCAGAAAACCAAGATGATTGTAGGGTTCATTTCATTTGTTTCCTTTGTCTCAAGGACCGCAGTCCTGTATTGTGTGTTGTTTTACATCAGAAATAGTTGTCCTGTTTATTTTGTCCTATTTTCTAATTATTTATGATGGAAGGATGAGTCTGGCCCCACCTGTTCCATCATGGCCACTATTATATTTACTACCAGAAATAAAACATTAAAAATGGTTGGTTTATTTAACTACTTTGTAAATTTTTTTAAAATGTTTTATTTATTTCTAGGAGAGAGAGAGACAGCATGAGCAGGGGAGGGTCAGAGAGAGAGGGAGTCACAGACTGAAACAGGCTCCAGGCTCTGAGCTGGCAGTCAGCACAGAGCCCGACGCGGAGCTCGAACCATGAACCGCGAGATCATGACCCAAGCGAAAGTCGGAGGCTCAACCAACTAAGCCACCCAGGCGCCCCGGTTTATTTAACTACTTTAAGTATAAATAAAATTTCTGTCTAAGATTAAAGCTATAATCTTACTTATAGTGTGCTTTGTATTTTTTAGACTTATAACTTCAATGTTTAAGAAATTTTAAGCTTTTCCTTAGACAATTGTACAGGCTTTTATGTCACTGAAAAAATTGTTGACTAATTGATAAATGAAACTACAATCTGTTAGACTGGCAACAGATTATATAGATTTAGAAATAATTACTTGCTTCATTTAAAGTTTAATGGTATCTTGAGCCAGGTTTCTTAATTTTATGATCTTCATGTAGAAAAATCCATCTTTCTGAAACAACCAGACTGGTTTTCCTATTGTTAGTGTTCTTAAGACTTAATTCAGTCTTCCTGCTATAATTGTATTCTAAGTGTTAATTTTTATCATTGTTTTTGTTAAAGTATTATACAGAGAGAATTACCCAGCTGGCCCAGAGTAAATATTTACACATGCTTAGATGGAAGAGGTTTTGCCAGCACAGTAAGATTATGGAGCAACTTTATCCTCTTTACAAGGTAGGAAGCCCAAGAACAGAACCTATGGGCTTTTTTTTTTTCTTAGAGAAAGAGTGGAGTGGGGGGACATCGAGAGAGAGAGAGAGAGAGAGAGAAAGAATATCTTAAGCAGGCTCCACACACAGCATAGAGCTTGGCACAGGGCTTGGCCTCACAGCTGTAACATCATTACCTAAGCCAAAATCAAGAGTCAGATGTTTGGGGCTCCTGGATGCTCAGTTGGTTGCGCATCCGACTTTGGTTCGGGTCATGATCTCATAGTTTGTGGGTTTGAGTCCTGCACGGGGCTCTGTGCTGATAGCTTGGAGCCTGGGGCCTGATTCAGATTCTGTGACTTCCTCTCTATCTATCCCTCCCCTGCTCGCGCTTTGTCTCTCTCTCTCTCAAAAATAAATAAACATTTTAAAAAAAAGAGTCAGATGCTTAACCAACTGAGCCACCCAGACACCCCTCTTTTTTTTTATAATGAAAGAAAATGGTCAATAAGCTCGCCAATACACATTATTTAGTATAGTAATAATACTGTACATTAGATCTCTAGACTCATTCATCTTATACAACTGCAAATCTGTACCCTTTGACCAATATTTCCCCACCCTCTAGCCCCTGGTAACCACTGTTCTACTCTCTGCTTCTTTGAGTTCAACTTTTTTTTTTTTAAATTCATCATGTAAATCATACAGTATTTGTCTCTGTCTCAATTATTTCACTTAGCATAATGTCCTCCAAGTCCATTCCTAATGTCAGAAGTGTTAGGATATCCTTCTTTCTCATAACTGAATAATACTGTGTTGTGTGTAACATACCACCTCTTCTTTATTCATTCATTATAAGCAGACTCAGGCTGTTTCCATATCTTGGCTATTGGGAATAATGTCTCAGTGGCCATGGGAATACAGATATCTCTTTGAGATACTGATTTTGTTTTATTGAGATATGTCCCCAGAAATAGGATTGTTAGATTATATGGTATTTCTATTTTTAATTCTTTTTTGAGAAATCTCCATACTGTTTTTCATAATGGCTATACCAGTTTATATTCTTACCAACAGTAAGCTTGTCAGTTTTTTTTAAGTCATGGCTAAAGATGGGAAAGGAACTAATGGATGCACCTATCTACCTGTTCTGCCTGTGGCAGAAGATAATGGCATCTATTTTTAAGGATGAAATTTGAAGGAACCTTTGTATGATAGAAAATGCATTTTTCTTCATGGATTTGGCCTCCTGTGTATAGATAAAAAGCTAAGAAGCCCCTTCCAGTTATCAAAAATCCATATGCACTGACTATTTGCTGAAGTCTCTCTGTTCAAAGAATATGACCGCTGCCATGTCAGTCAAATTCAGAATGTGAAAGAATCATCATATTCCAGGAGCCTCTTATTTGGCCCCCAAACAGCATTAGCCTATGCTCGGAAGCAAATGACACAAGAGAATAGCTTGCAAATAATCGTGTTCTGACTCTGCCTTACTCTTAAACAGAAACAAGTCACCTACATTATGCAGGAATACAATGATGCCCTTCAGAGAGCTGAAAGATTGTCTGTTGCACGAGAAAACTTCCTTATGGGAAAAAACAATCCTTCTAACTTAGTGACACAAGAAGACCTGACTATTTACACAAAGTGGCTTGTGTGTCACCTACACTCACTCAGGACTATTCACCACTACCTACAAGTATGTGAAACATAGTTATATGATGATACGGTGCCCTCCCATGATGATCAGCATTGTTTTCTCACACCTGTCACCTACTTTTGGGTTGTCAGTGCTTCTGTGTTCTACTTGCCCTACAAATGACAGGAAAATAATTAGTCATTAGCTTTTTTCTTTGAAACCTTTGAAAACATTTTCTTTTAAAGTCTTTCTCTAATGAAACCACTCCATTAATTTAGTTTTTTCAAAGATGTCTCTGCTGTATTATTTCATATTCACTCTGCAAGTTCTTGTTTTCATCATTTTGTTCAGAATTTACGATGTCAAATTTAGATCCACTTTTTATTCGGCAGTATCTAATGAAGCTCTAATACACACCAGGTACATGTCCAGGGCCATAAAGCAAAAATATGAGCTTTGTTGAAAAAAAGTAACTGAGTCCCAGTCTGGCAGAAAAATGGGCAAGTTAAATAGTCAACTGAAATATAATGTGGTAAGTAAGAACAGAATAGAAAAGAATAGAATAAGTATAAGCATAGAGGAAAGAAAGTCACTGAGAAGAGGCCCTAACCCAAGCCTGAGGCATCAGAAAGTAGTGACATGATCATATGTCTATGTTAGAAAGATTATTATTTTCCCACCTAAATCTTTTCCTACTCCTCTATGGCTTATTTCAGTGATATTACCATCCACAGAGCTACCCAAATCAGAAAACTGACCATCAACCCTTCCCCAGTCAGTCACTATGGCATCTACTTCTGAGTCCTCTCTCCCCAGTCACATGGCATAATAACACTCTGCTCATAAGTCTTTGTCCCCCATTAGACTGTGAACTCTTTGAGATTGATCCATGTCTTATTCATGTTGGACCATGTCTTATTCATGTTGGTATCCCTAACACCTCACATAGTGTCTTGTCCATTATGGATGCTTGATCAATGTAGACCCACTTGGAGGTTCAGGTTGCTTAGCGTTGGTGACCACAAGAAGTCTCCCAGGTCCAGATTTAGCACCCCATGTTTGAGCAGGTTACGAAGACCCACCTCTACCTCCTCTCCCTCTATCAAAGCAAAGGGCTACTCCTGAACCTAAGTCTGGAAGCTTCTTTGAGAATTGAGTTGACATATGGCCTCTTAATTATGCCCTTCTATAGTCCCTCCAGTATTTGCCCATCTCCAAAGTGCTGAGTGTAGCTGTTGATGAAGTTCCTGAGGCTTGTCGGGAGAATGAAAATGTATGTGTTGATGACATCAACTCTAATACCCAGCGTTCTACATCACCAGACCCTGTGAATACTAGCATTTCAGGTAAGAAATCAGTCTTCTTTCCCCTTGGGTAATGTGGAGAAAGAAGATTGTGGTTTTTGTACATGTGTTGTTTCGTCACATGATCTTGCTTAACATTTTTGTATATACCAAGAAGTTATATCTTCTTAATAAACAAGTATTAATTTAATATTTTCTGATGAAAAAAAACTAAGTACTTTTCTTAGACATTGTGGTCTCCCTCTTTATAAATGGCAAATCAAGAGAGAGGTGAAAAAAGCAATGAACTTGAAGTTTGAGAGTACTATGTTGTTGATGTGTTTCTGTCGTGGCCTCACTGTGGCCCTGACTGTTTAGGTCATTTCATCTTTTTAGGCTTCAATTTATTCATCTCCAATATAAACCTTTCAGATTAAGTGATACCTAAGGTCTCTTTCAGTTTTAATATTACATGTTTAAAGAGTAATTTCCTTATCTGAATTAATTTAATAGTCCTCCTGCCCTTACCATGTGTTATAGATGACTAAGAAACCTAATTAGGTTTCCACTCTGAGTGACATATTTGCTTGGGATATGTACAGAGTGACACAGGAGCACCTGAAGAGGCAGCCAACTTAGTTGTAAGGAGGCCTTGTGTCTCAAAGGAAGGCAGTCTGAACCGGGTCCTTAAAAATGAGCAGGAGTGAGCCAGGCAAAAAGAGATCAAGGCTCTCACTTTCTTCTAATTTGTGGGTTAATTTATAAACCATACTCTTTGTTTACCACAAAGGACTATAGGTAGTTCTGCTCCCACTAAGTCATTCTTCAGAGTCTGTTGGGTTTCTCCTACAGGCTGTGTGAAGGTGAGTGGTCCTTGCTACCTCACCCAGAAAGCCAACATCAAGGGTTTGTCAGATAGGCATGGCCCAGGATGGCGTGGCCTATAAATTGTGGCAGAGAAGCTTGGGCAAGGAGCAGAACGGGCCTCCCTGTCAACAGAGAAGCTCCTGCCTCCAGTTATTTCACAGGATACTCCATTTTCTCTCCCTGATTAGTGTTTATTGGTCTTAATGTTCTTGATTTCGGGGATTTTTTTAGGGCTCACAAGAACAGAAGCTGCTTTCTTCCTCCCCCAACACACAACTGAAAGAGAAGAACTGAAACCCCAGCTGAGGCTCCTGCTCTCCCATTTTAATATCCCATATGATGTGGAAGAGCTAAGGGACGCTCCTAAGGAAATGGAACTTTTCAACCTGGTACTTGATGGACTCTTTCTTTCTTTCTTTTTAATTTTTTTAATTGTTTATTTATTTTTGAGAGAGAGAGATAGGTGTGAGTAGGGGAGGCCAGAGAGAGAGGAAGACACAGAATCCAAAGCAGGCTGCAGGCTCTGAGCTGTTTGCTTAGAGCCTGATGTGGGGCTCGAACTCACGAACCACAAGATCATGACCCGAACCAAAGTCGGACACCCAACCAACTGAGCCAACCAGGCGCCCCTTGAGGGACTCTTTCTTAACACAAAGATAGGTGTTTATGAAAGAAACACTACTATTTGCTACAAAGTTGATATCCATCCTGCCACAGTTGTTTCTGGAGTGATAAAATTTAATAGTAATAGGTGAGATTTAGATTAGCGCTTGAACTTCCTCTCTATAAGAGTACTAAGTCTCTTGAATATACAGCCCTGAGGGATTATGAGATTTCTCTGTAGAATTTAAGGAAAAAGTAGTTTATAGTCCATAGTAGATGATATAAAAGTAGCCAAGATTTGGTAGATTTGCATAATGGAGTTGTTTCGTGTCTTGAGTCCTTTGATTTTCAGAATGTGTTGTAATAGCTCTCCTATTGGCAAAATGCTTTAAATTCAATAGAGTTTATATTATGTAGTGATTTTTTAAAGTTGTGCAGGCTGCTGAACTATACCCCAGTGTTGCGCTTCCTTTATTTATTTAAAAAAAAATTTTTTTAACATTTATTTATTTTTGAGAGACAGAGAGTGAACAGAGGAGGGGCAGAGAAAGAGGGGGACACATAATCCAAAGCAGGCTCCAGGCTCTGAGCTGTCAGCACAGAGCACAATGCAGGGCTCAAACCCACAAACTGCAAGATCATGACCTGAGCTGAAGTCAGCTGCTTAACCGACAGAGACACCCAGGCACACCGCACTTTCTTTAAAAAAAAAACAGAACAAAACAAAAAAAACAACCCTCATATTAATACGAGTCACATTAAAACTCATTTCAAAGGGAAAAATAGAATTATGCAAGGATAGCTTCAAATTTATAATATAAAGTTTTCAGCCAAAGCATCAACACAAAGATATTTCTTTAGCTCTGGGTACGGAATTTTGCAAGTATATGTATTTGCTAGGGAAGAATAGTAAATTCATTGATCCAAACACGCAAAAATAAAATCTGAATGTTCCTGAATGCTCTTTGTGTAAGAAGGAGCCTCTGTCTTCCCTATCACCATTTACCTTGACATTCAGCTTTCACTTCCACATGTGCTTGTTCCAGCATGATTTTACTAGGATTATTTCTATTTATATGTAACACAGGCTCTTTACGCTCCCTGAAACCAGTGGTATCACATGTCCTCTGGTTTCTTTGAAGGTGATGATGTTTCAGCTCTTGCCTTTCTTTGCAGCAGAGCACTTCTAGGGAGTATCCTTACTCTCATTATCAGTAAGCATTGTGAGAAACAAAAACTGGAATTGGAATAAGATGGTATTTTAAAAGAGTCAAATGAATAAAAAGAATTATAACACAGTAGCTGTCATCAATGGTAACAAATAAACAAAAACCATGAGGCTGCTGAGCAAACTTGTTCTCAAAGAACAGTTTGTTTCCTTTATATAGCAATAGTTTCCACTTCTGATTTTTTTTTAAATGTTTTATTTATTTCTAGGAGAGAGAGGGAAAGACAGCGTCAGCAGGGGAGGGTCAGAGAGAGAGGGAGTCACAGACTGAAACAGGCTCCAGACTCTGAGCTGGCAGTCAGCACAGAGCCCGACGCGGGGCCCGAATCCACGAACCGCGAGATCATGACCTACGCGAAAGTCGGACGCTTAACCGACTAAGCCACCCAGGCGCCCCACCACTTCTGATTTAAAAAAAAAAAAATTAATTTAATTTTGAGTCTGAGTATAAGTGGGGGAGGGGCAGAGAAAGAGGGAGACAGAATCTGAAGCAGGCTCTGAGCTGTCTGCATAGAGTCTGGTGCAGGGCTCGAAATCATGAGCTGCAGGATTCTGACCTGAACTGAAGTTGGATGCTTAACCGACTGAGCCACTCAGGGGCCCCTCCACTTCTGATTTTCTTATAACAGTGTTTCTGTGCAATGCTTGCACTCACAAGATAATCAATCACATTACAACTTTGTGTGTGTATAGGAAGAGTTCTTATATTTGGGTGCTGTTTATTCTGGTTCTCTGATTCCTTAGAGCAGAGTCAGCAAACGACAGCTGCAGGCCACAAAATGTTTCTTTTTTACTTTAATTAACTTTTATTGGAATTCATCCATGCCCACTTGTTTACATATTACCTATGACTGCTTTCACACCACAAATGCAGAGTTGAGTAGTTGCAACAGAGACCATATAGATGGTCTGCAAAGACTAACATATTTACTATCTGACCCTTTAAGAAAAACTTTGCCTTACTCCTGTTTAGGTTTCCCAAAAATTTCAAAGCATCTTTAAGGAGCAACAGAGAATGCAAACATTTCCAGACTATGATGTGAAGACAGCTAAATTGGAGAATTTGGGTTTGGCAGGACCTGGTGTGGCCTTGAAAAAGAAAGCTAACTGGATTTCCTTTATAAAAGTAAGAAGACCTGTGGTGATGGTCACCTGTCAGTGATGTCAGCATGGTCACAAAGTATCCTCTAAGCAGGCCACGCAACCTGGCAGCACGGGGTCTGTCATGTCCCTATTGTCCCCTGGCCTCAATGCCCTAAGCAAACTGTCCCGTAGGACCAAGGGTAGGTTCACCAGTCTCCCCCAGCTCCTTCCTGCCTTGGGTCCATATTGAAGTTAGCCACTTTGACCTACCTTCTCTGAAAAGCCCCCATAGTCCTGTACTCTCTATTGGGTCAGAACTCTATTCTTGTTGGTGGTGTTCTTGGCTACTTGGATAGAACAAAGAATAACATTCAAAGGTATAATTGAGTTGTGTAAATCCAGCTTTTTAGTCAAAAACTATTCATTGAGTATATACTATGTGTCAGGCATGACCCTTGGTGCTGGAGATACACAATTTAAAAACAATACACAAGCAGATTAAACAAGATGATTTGGGGTAGTGGTAAGTATAGTTGATTCTCATTGTTTGGGGTTACTATGTTCTATAAGGTTGCCATAAACACTAAATGAACAAATACAGAACTACTGTTCATAGGGAAAATACAAGATTTATTCATGAACTGATCAATATATATCCTTGCTTTATGTATGTTTCTGTTCAAAACTGTTTATGTTTTATTCATTTCTGAGAGAGAGAGAGAGACAGCATGATCAGGGGAGAGTCAGAGAGAGAGGGAGACACAGAATCGGAAACAGGCTCCAGGCTCTGAGCTGTCAGCACAGAGCCCAGTGCAGGGCTCGAACCCATGAACCATGAGATCATGACCTGAGCCGAAGTTGGACACTTAACTGACTGAGCCACCCAGGCACCCCTGTTCAAAACTATTTAATATATGGTTTTGATTCATTAACATTGAACTCGTGGCCAATAGCACTGTAACTCATGCCTGAACAAACCTTATCAGATATATATATCTATAAGATATATATCTGCTATAAGATATCTCACAGCTTTCCTGTACTTAGGAACACTTAGGAATACTTCAGCACTACACCTAAAGGCCATTTTAAGAAGTGAAATCACCAGTAAAAAACATGAAAATGTAGAAACAAAAAAGGACACTCGTTTACAGTATGAGAACTGAAACAAGAAGGCAGAATGTCACCTTGTTTGACCTCAGCTGGGAATGTGGGGTTGCACGACTCAAATTTTTCACCATCCTTTGCATGTCCATGAATGACCAGGATAGATCTGCCAGTATTGGTTTTGGGGTTACAAACAAATTTTAGTGAGTAGAAAAATTTTCAAATACAAAATCTATGAATAATGAGGATCAACTATATTGTGAAGGAAAAAAAAGTCTTACATGGTAAGATGGATGGTGGGAAAGGAGAGAAATCAAAGATTACTCCTAAATCTGGGGCATGTGCACATAGGTGGTCAGTGTGGGGAAAGCCATACTTTCTATTTTAGATAGTTACATTTGCCTTCTAACTATCGGTATCAAGGAGATAGTTGGATATAACATACTGGAGCTTAGAGCTAGATATAAATTTGACAGTTATGAGTATGTTGATGTATTTACAGCTTTGTATCTAATTTTTGAAATATACCGTTAATGCAGAAGGTAAATTTTTACTTGTGAAGTATTTGTGGGCGAACTTCTCTTGCCCCATAAATCAAGTGTGGTGCCCAACACTGATGGATTAAGGGTCCCTCCTACTCACGGATGGTGCTGTGTCATCCCACATGAAGCTAATGTGTCTCATAGACCAGGCACCAACAGGAACTGCTGCTTCCATCTCCCTCCACGGATCTGCGAACCCACGCGGACCCTTTCCAAGATGTCCCATGATCTTGGCAAACTTTCTAGCACCCCATTTCAGAAGGCCCTTGAATCTCTTTGCTTGCAACTTTTTTGTTAGAACCATTCTGTTTTGTTGTAACTTTGTATGAACATATATATATATATATATCCATTAGATTAAGCCAAAATGTGATCCTTGGCAAAAGAAGATTTTGACCAAACTAAAAGAACGGAGAAGAATTGATGTATTAATGCAACTCCAAGCAAAGTTTTTGAAGGTAAGAAAATAATCATATTCCCTTGTAGATAAAATTCTTGCTAAAACCATCCTCAGAAAATTGAATTTTCTTTCCCTTTTAAAGAAAGATTAGCCATGGGTTTTCTATGAAAGCTTTATTTGGAAACTTCTAATCTAATTGCAAAAATTGTATGGCCCTGTTAGTTTTCAGGAGAAAGTAACAATTGTCAAAAGAGCTGCATTTCAGTCCAGCTTTAGCACTAAGGCTCTATGTGATATTGGTCTGATCACACAGCCTCCTTGAGTTTGTTTCCTCATCTGTGAAACAAAAATACTGGATCAAATTATCTTATTTTTATTGTGGTAAAAAGCACATGGCATAAAATTTATCATCGAATCAAGTTAAGTGCACATAGGTGTGTTCAGTATATTCACATTATTATGAAATAGATCCAGAACTTTTTCACCTGGCAAATGGCAACTCTGTACCTATTAAACAACAATTCCCTATTTCCTCCTCCCCACAACCCCTAGAAACCACCATTCTATTATCTGTTTCTGAATATGAGTACCTTTAGAACCTCTTGTAAGTGCACTCATATAGTATTTGTCTTTTTGTAACTGGCTTATTCCACTTAGGGTAATGTCCTCAAGATTAATCCATATGGTAGCATGTGACCAGGTTTCCTCTCCCTTTTGTTTTTCATGAACATTTTATCAGCTTTATTCACAATAGACAAATTCTAGAAACAACCCAGATGTTTTTCAGAGGGTACATGAACTAATTGCGGTACATCTGTACCAGGGAATAGCAGTCAGCTGTAAAAAAGAACAAACTAGTGATATACCCAAAAACCTGGATGAATCTCCAGAGAACCATGTGATTGAAAAAAAGTCAGTCCCATAAAGACGGTATAAGTCCATTTCTACAACACTCTTGAAATGACAAAGTACAGAAATGGAGAACAGATTCGTGGATTGTAAGGGGTAAGGAGAGGCTGATGAAGAAGGGAGAGGAGTGTGGTTATAAAAGAGCAACACGAAGGATCCTTGTGGTGATGCATTTGTTCTATAACTTGATTGTATCAATGTTAATATCCAAGTTCTAATATACTGTACTATGGTTTTGCAAGATGTTGACATTGGGTGAAATGGAGTGAAGAGTACATGGGGTTTCTTTATATTATTTTTCCCTCTTTTCTTAAATCATAGTAAAACACACATAAACATGAAATTTACTGTTTACTGTTTTAACTATTTTTGTTTGTTTCAAGTTTTTATTTAAATTCTTGTTAGTTAACATATAGTGTAATGTTGGTTTCAGAAGTAGAATTCAGTGATTTATCACTTACATGGAACACCCAGTCCTCATCCCAAGTGCCCTCCTTAATGCCCATCACCTGTTTAGCCCATCCGCCCACCCGACACCACCCAACATCCCTCCATCAACCCTCACCACCTCCCTTCCATCAACCTTCCATTTGTTCCCCACTGTTAGGAGTCTCTTATGGTTTGCCTCCCTTTCTTTCTTTTTCCCTTCCCGTATGTTCATCTGTTTTGTTTCTTAAATTTCACATAGGAGTGCAATCATATGGTATTTGTCTTTGACTGACTTACTTTGCTTAGCATGATAAACTCTAGCTCCAGCAATGTCATTGCAAATGTCAAGATTTCATTCTTTTTGATAGCTGAGTAATATTCCAGTGTGTGTGTGTGTGTGTGTGTGTGTGTGTGTGTGTGTGTGTATAATATACACATATATACATACACACACACACACACATACCACATCTTTATACATTCCATCAGTTGATGGTCATTTGGGCTCTTTTCATTATTTTAACTGTTTTTTTCAAAAAGTTTATTTATTTTGAGAAAGAAAGTTCATGATGAGCAAGGAAGGGTCAGAGAGAGAGGGAGAGAGAAAATCCCAAGCAGGCCCTGCACTGTCAACACAGAGCCTGATTTGGGGCTTGATCCCACAAACCATGAGATCATGACCTAAGCTGAAACCAAGAGTTGGATGCTTAACCAACTGAGCTACCCAGGTGCCCTATTTTGACTATTTTTAAGTATACATTTTAGTGGCATTAAGTGCATCCATACTGCTGGGTAATCATCACCACCATCCATCTTCAGAACTCTTCATCTAGCAAACTGAAACTGTAGACCCATTAAACAGTAACTCCTCATTCTCCCCTCCCCCTGTTCCCTGGCAACCACCATTCTAATTTCTGTCTCTTTGAGTTTGACTACTCTAGGTACCATGTATTAGTGAAATAATGCAGTGTTTGTCTTTTTATGACTGGCTTATTTTACCCACCCAGGTTCATCCATGTTGTAGGATATAGCAGAATTTCCTTTCGTTTTAAGGCTGAATAATATTCTCTTGTGTATATCTACCATGTTTTTAAAAATCTATTTATTTGTTGATGGACATCTGGCTTGCTTCCACCTCATGGCTATTATGAATAATGCTGCTATGAACATGGATGTATAAATACCTTTTTGGATACTGCTTTCAGTTCTTTTGGATATAAACCCAGTAGTGGAATTGATGGATCATAAGATAATCTGTTTTAATTTTTTTGAGGAAACTCCATCCTATTTTCCATAGTAGTTGCAGCATTTTACAGTACTACCAACAGTACACAAGAGTTCCAATTTCTCCACATCCACATCAGCACTTGTTACATTCTCTTTCTTTCCCTTTCTTTCTTTCTTTCTTTCTTTCTTTCTTTCTTTCTTTCTTTCTTTCTTTCTTTCTTTCTTTCTCCCTCTCTCTCTCTCTCTTCCTTACTTTTCCTTTTATTCTCTCTCTTTCCTCCCTCCCTCCCTTCCTTCCTTCTTCTCCTCTTTCCCCTCAATGCCCCCCTCCACCCCCCTCCCCCTCCTTCCCCTCCCTTTCCCTCCTTTCCCCATATCCCCCTTCTTCTTCTCCTTCTTCCCTTCCTTCTTGCTATTAGCAATCATAATGGTTATGAGATGATATCTCATTTTGGTTTTGTTTTGTGTTTCTCTGATGATTAGTGATTTTGAGAATCTTTTCATATGCTTATTGGCCATTTGTATATCATATTTAGGAAAATGTCTAGTGAAGTCCTTTGCCTATTTTTAAATTGAGTTATTCAACTTTTTGTTGTTGAGCTGTAGGAGTTCTTCATATATTCTGGATATTAAACTCTTATCAGATATGTAATTTGGAAATACATTCCCTCATTCCATAAGTGACTTTTCACCTGTTAATTGTATCCTTTGATGCATGGATGTTTTAAAGTTTTACATAATCATATCGGTCAATTTTTGCTATTTTTCCTGTGCTTTTGGTTTCGTATCCAAGAAATCATTGCCAAATTCAATGTTATCAAGGTTTTTCCCTGTTTTTGTCTGTTTTATAGTTCTAGGTCTTATGTTTATATCTTTAGTCCATTTTGAGTTAATTTTTTTGTGTATGGTATAAGATAAAGGTTTAACTTCATTATTTTGCATGTGGATATCCAGTTTTCCTAAAACAATTTGTTGAAGAGATTGTCCCTTCTCTGATGAATGATATTGAGATCCTTTGATCATTTGACCATGTAATCAAGGGTTTATTTCTAGGCTTTCTATTCTATTGGTCTGTCTGTTCAATTTATTCCAGTACCACACCATTTTGATTACTATAGCTTTGTAATATGGTTTGAAATCAGACAGTGTGAGTCCTCCAATTTTGTTCTTCCTTTTCAAAATCATGTTGGTGATTTGGAGTCCTTTGAGATTTTATATGAAATTTAAGATGAATTTTTCTACTTATGCAAAAAAATGCCATTGGGATTATGATAGAGACTGGACAAACTGATATTTGAAGTTCCTTGTGATATTAAAATGATTGAAACACCATAGTACATGTATCACTGCAGTAGGAGTTCGGCCTTGGGACTATCATTTGATTCTTTACTTCCAGAAAAGAAGGAACATTTATTCAGTACCTACTATATTCCAGGCATTCTTGCAGCAATCCAGGGAGATACACCCTCAGTGTTCTTGTTAGGACAGAAAAAGAACAGGATTCCATCAGAGCTACAAGCCCAAGTCTGTGTCCTTACAAAGCCTGTGCTTTCCTCACACTAGCCAGATTCCTCTTCTTCCATCTCTTAGCAGCTTCCAAATAGCAAACAGGATTTGTACCCAAAGTGACAGGTGTTCATCTTTTCATTGGTGCCACAACACTTATGGGGGTGCAATCTGCTATTGTGTTTAGAGGGTTGTCACAGAATTTTAAATGAGCTGCCATGTGTATTTGAAAACTTACAATGTTGAATGGATGGACCTACCTAAGGGAATCATGATGTTTGAGTCTGATTTTATTTTTTAACTGAATAAAGCCCCACCTGGGACTTCTTTCCTATTTGTGTGTACATGATCCACATTCTTCCTGAGAAGAAAGGAGTAACACTTTTCCCAACCATTCCTTTTCTTCTTGTTCTCTTTGAGATTTCCAGCCCTGAGCGAGTAATGCAAGTGCTCCAAGACCACGCGGCAAAGACAGTCATGCTGGCTGCATCTCATCCAACTTTCGTGGCTTCCCAGAGTTTGCATCAGGACAACTATGACCAAATCTGGGAGAATATTTATAGCAACATCAACCTGTACCAGGTACAACAGGAAGAAATAACCAATATGCCTTTCTGTTCTACTCACCACCTGTGTATATATCTTAGAAATTTACTTTGGTAGTTTTTCAGAGACCCTCCCCCTAAAAGCTTTATTACCACCCAGGTTTATTTTTATATCATAAAAAAAGATTAAATACTAATTTGAAAGAAACATATAAAGAAGTGTAATATAGGATGTTGCTGCAGGACATATACTCAACCAATACATACCAATGCAAAGCTGCACGCTTTAGTGCTTAACCGACTTAGCCACCCGGGAGCCCCTACTCTTTAGTGCTAAACACCAAAGACAGTTAGACAGTTGTTAAATATTGTGTGTGTTTTAGAGGCAAAGTGGTGCCCCCAGGATTGATTCTTTTTTGGAAAAGCCTCTGGAAGGAGGAGGAAATCAAGTTTGGGCTTAACGGAATCGTGGGGCTCAGGGAAGTGGTGCTGGAGAGGAGACACTGTGTGTGGAGTGTTCAAGTCCAGTTTGGCTGAGTGAAAGATTCATGTGGAAATATAGGGAAGAGAAGTATTTTTAAGGGTGAGGAGAGAGTAGGTTTCGAATGCCTCTAAATTTCAGACCAAGGAATTTGTGCTTTATCCTGTAAGGGAAGTGATATATACAAAGCTGTATTTGGTAGGAAGGTTAATATAGTAGCAGGTGTTAGTTGGATGGGAAGAGGGAGAGATTGGAGGCAGAGAAGCCAGCTAGATAGCTACTACATAAGATGGGCCCAAAGCTTGGCAATGAGGGGGGCAGTTTCTACACAAAGCTATTGGATATTTGTCTTCATGGTGGTTCTATATAATTTTTGAATAATCTGCTATTATTTATCTGTTGCTCTGAGAGAAGAGTTTTGTTTCCTTTGCTTATTTAAGATGAGATGACTCAACATGTTTATCATCTGAAAGGAATGAGCAGTGAAGAAGAAGAGATGGAAGATGTGAATGGGTAAATCTGAGAAAAAGACGACACTGGAGAAAGAGGAGGGAATGGGATGAAGAAACCAGTTGAGGAGTAATTTTGAGAAAGAAAGAATGGTACCACTTCCCCCGAAGTTAATGAGATATATAGCATTGTCAGGTGCCAAAAAATAAGATGTGGTAGTTTGTAAATGGCCCTAGCTGTCTCCGGGAGAGAGAGAAGAAGGGGAGGAAGGTCTGCATTAGTGAGGTGGGAGGTGAAAGTGACAGGTGAGGAGGTGTATCGCTGCAGGGAAAGCCACAGGGCCACCAGTGACAAAAGAATATAAGGATGGCCATGTAGCTAGCGGGACCATTTGAAGTAAAAGGGCATGAATTTGTCATAGGCCCAATCTGCATAATAAAACTATTATTTTCACCCCTAAAGATTAATTGTAGAGTAACTAAAAATTATACTTAAAGTTGAAGGTTTGGAGAAGTTTAGTAGAATGCTAGAGAGAGCGTTGTCATGGTCCATCATCTCAGGCTGGGTATAGAGAAACCGAAACTTGATCTGAGTTACAGATTAGCTGGAGGCAAACCCATATGTGCATGTATGTGTACACACACACACACACACCGCAACTTCTATTAACTTTTCAATCTGTTTATATAAGGATCTAGAGAACCTAATTAAAAAATGAATTGGCTTGGCCACACAGAGATCAGGAATGGATACAGCCTATCATGGCATGGATCTCCTTGGCCCCTGAATTCCCTAGTAGGGCATGACTACCAGCGACACTCCTTAGCCAGCATCCCATCAGAACTGAGGAAATAACGATATTTTTCCTATTCCATTGCCATCTCATACTGAGCTATATGTCACCATGCATAAAGACCTTATACTAACAAGAGGACATTAATAGACATCCAGCTCTTTTGTTTCTTGAACCAAGCTTAAAGGAAAGGAGGTAGGGAGTGGGAAAGAAATGAGGGGGTGAAGGCAAAGTCAGCCCAGGTATCTCTGAATAAGACCCCTGCTCCTAGGATCCTGGACAATCTACCTCTTGATGCTGATATAATCCTCCTTTACCTGAAATTCTGGTATTAGTATTTGAGGGCCATTAGCACAAATCAGCTTTTCTCCTTGACTGTGAGAATAGGGACAATTAAATTCCTGGGGGCCAGATGAGGGTGAAAAGAGGTGAATATGAGTAAGGGAGTGGTAGGAGGCAAAGGGAGAGGGAGTCAGAGGCAAAGAGCTTCGTGTTTGAAGTCATGGAGAATGGTCCAGGGCCCGGCTGGACCAGCAGGCCTGTGGGTATTCAGGGGACAAAGGAGTTTAACAGGGAAAAGTAGAAGGTGCATGGTGAGAGCAGGAGATGATAGCTCAGGTAAATATTGAAAGGCAGAAAACACTAAGAGGTGCCCAGCCACATAGAGGAGAGAACTCACACTTCCTGTCATTCTCTGGTGCTGCTTCCCTCCATTTGCAGATGAGGTAGAAAGTCAAGCAGAGTAGGATGAAATGCAGTCTCTGCTTTCACCCAAGTCTCTTGTGAATGCAGTTGCCTAGTGTTGAATAGAAGGGGGGAGAAAAAGAAAAGAAAGAAACCCACTTCCTCTGGCTATTTACTGACTTATAAATGTTGTTCTTGGAATTGGCCAAAGGGAGAAAAATGTGAGTACCTCTCTTCAAGTTGATTTATGGTAAATAGACCCTAAAGAGACTTAGAATACCTATAGATTTTAGAGGTGGATCCTGAGGGGAGCTGTATAACACACACGGATTAACCTGCATATTAGTGTTACGCAGGTTTCTCATTCATTCATCCATTCAGTGATTATTACATGGATGCTACCTTTGGGCCAGGAATTGTGCTGCTCAGGGAATGAAACATGCAATAGACAAGTGAACAAAAAAGTAAATCTACATCTCTATGAAGAAAACCACAGGAAGAGGAGGCAGCGGGGTAGAGAGGAGCACCCTCAGAATGATCAACCAAGCTCTTTCAGAGTTGGAGACATCTGAGCTGAAAGCTGGTGAATGAGATAGAGTCAGCCATGCTGGAGAAGAGCTTTCCAAGTAGAGAACAGAAAATAGCATGGTGTTTGAGAAAGGAAATTCTGATGCAACGATCAACAGTTTTCTACTTTTCCTTCACCGTGTCCTGTGGGTCTTATTTTGTGACTTCCTCGGGTATTTCTGCTTTGGTCAAGAGTCACTTTATACAGTATCAGGGCACCAATAGTAGCGTGTTGCCATTCTGAACATTGAATCCTAGTCAGATGAGATGAGGATGAAGTAGAAGGTGGCAGCTGGGAGGAGTCACAGGAATGTGGTTATGAATCTTAAAGCTCTGTTACTATTTTGCAAGCATGTAGCAGTCAAGTATGAATTTTAGCATCTATATGCTGGTCAGCATTCTGACTCTGAAGTTGGCAAGTGATAATCAATAGCCCATGAAAAATGACTTTCTTAAGTGCCTTCTGCATGAAGGAAAGCAAACCTCATAGGATTGTCCATTTTAACAGCTCTGAAGGAATATAATCACTAATTATAGCACAACTTCAGAACAGTTTTCGATCAATTTTCCGTGAACATTATTCACCAGCAGCCTTTCCTTAGGGAGTTTTTTTTTTTTTTAAGATAATAAATGTTTTATTTTAGAGTAGTTTTACATTTACATAAAAGTTGAAAAGATAGTATAAAGAGTTCCCAGGAGCCCCCTGTCCAGTTTCTCCTATTATTAACGTTAATCTTATATTACTTTGTCACACCTAAGGAACTAGCATTGGTATATCGCTGATATCTAAACTAAACCATATTCGTAGTTCACTAGTTTTTTCATGAATGTCCTCTGTGTACTCCAGGGCACCACATTATCTTTAAGTGTCACATTTGCCAGTCTCCACAGGTCTGTGTCCATTTCTCAGTCTTTCCTTGTTTACCACGACCTGGACAGTCTTTAGTAGTACTGGCCAGGCAACCTATAGAATGCTCCCTAATTTGAATTTGTCTGATGATTTTCTCATGATTATACTGCGGTTATAGGTTTGGAGGAAGAACAGCTCAGACGTGAAGTGCCTTTCTCATCACATCATATCTGGGGCAGATGCTATCAACCTGATTTGTCACTGTGGATGTTACTCTTGTTCATGTGGTTAAGCTAGTGGCGTTTGCTAGGTTTTTCCACTGCAAAGTTACCATTTTTCTCCTTAAGAAGTTGTTAGAAATTAATTTTAAACTACAGAAATAATAAATAAATGTCTCCTCCTAGTCAAAAATGGAAACATCACTGAGAAGTTAATGCTTCAACTTTAGCTAATGGGAACTCTAATACTAGCCCCTATTCTGCTTCCTCAGAGGTAAACATGATTATTGGCTTCAAGCCTTTTCAATGCATTTACATTTAAACTTATGTCCTCATTTTATATATATATATATTTATATATTTATTTATATATTTATATATATATATTTATAAATATATAAATATATAAATATATATTTATATAAATATTTATATATTTATTTATATATATATTTATAAATATATAAATATATATTTATATATATATTTATAAATATATAAATATATATTTATATATATATTTAGTTTTTTATATAAATAACCTATCATTGGAGGGCCTAGGGGACTCAGTTGGTTAAGTGTCCAACTCATGATTTTGGCTCAGGTCTTGATCTCAAGTTTCATGAAATCAAGCCCTACATCCGGCTCTGGGCTGACTTGGGATTCTAAATAAATAAATAAATAAATAAATAAATACATAAATACATAAATACGTAAATAAGTAAATAAATAAAAATAAACTTTAAAAAATTGTTTAAATGATCTGTCATACTCTGTGGATATCTTTGTGCAATCTGCTCTTTTTTGCCCAACAATATGTCTTAGAGATCTGTCTCTTGCTCTTTTTAATGGCTGCACTATATTTCTATTATATACTAGAGATCACACAGACACCTCCCTGTGGATACGGGCTACCATTTTTTATTTCATTAGAAACCATTCCTGCTGAACTTTCTTGTCCATGCCTCCTTCTGCACATCTTTAGACTGGATATTTAGAAGTGGATTTCCTGGGTCACAGAATGTGCCCATGCAAAATTTTCTGTAAAGGGGTATATCATTTTTCTTCCAACCAGCAACTTATGAGAGAACCTGCTTTTCCACATCCATTTTAACAATGAATATGTTTGTCTGAACATCTATAATATTTGTGGTGTTTCTATCACAGTTTGAACTGGCCTTTTATTTAGAATCAGCATGGAAGACTGATACACAATTCTATTTTCAGGTTTACTTAAAGATCTGGGTTTAGGAGATAAAGAAAAAAAATACCAAATCTTCTTATAATTATTAATTGAAGATAATTATAACTAGAAAGAGATAATTTAGGTCCAATGGACTGCATTTTTTAAATATCCTTTTGAAAAAACTTAGAAATAATATAACTGTAGTTCTAACCAGGAGTAGGAGTAGACTAGACTAAGTAGCCCTGTGTGGGTCTTCCCAAACCTCCCAAACTCTTGTATTATATCAAGTTACTTGTATCCAGTGCTATTCCCCAAGAAAATACCTGTTTACTCAAATGGTTATTTATGTACAGACCTTAAATACTACTATTGACCATCATGTTACTTTTTTTTATTTATATGTAGGTTAGTTAGCATATAGTGCAATAATGATTTGAGGAATAGAATCCAGTGATTCATCCCCTACATATAACACCCAGTGCTCATCCCAACAAGGGTCCTCCTTAATGCCCCTTACCCATTTAGCCCATCCCCACCCACCTCCCCTTCAGCAACCCTCAGTTTGTTCTCTATATTTAAGAGTCTCTTAGACCATCACATTTCTAAAGATACGGTTTAAACTGGTCACTGTTCTTTAACTTTATGGAGTGCTGAAGTGGCAGAAAACACGAGATCCTTTGCCTCTTCTTTTGCGTCTTCTCACTGGCCACACCAAGGAGAGGAGAAGGGGACAGCTGTTTTTTCCTGTCTGTGTCACTGTTCCCCTACATTCCCAGAGATATAATGGGTACACGGTGTGCCCTCACAAAAGTGCTATTGTATACAGTAGCTCCAGTGTGCAAGAAGTTTAGGGAAACACAAAACACTTCTGGTTTACCTCAACAATTCAATAAAACATTTTAAAAACAAACATTTTCTGTTGACAATAATTACATGTATTCATCATAAAAATTTTGGGAAATATAGAAAAGTTCACGGAAGAAAATAAAAATCAGCCATTATTTTACCACCCAAATATAACAATAGTATTGTTAACATTTGGTATACATATATCCCTCTAGTCTTTTTATTCTGTAGATATACACAAAGAAGTTGTAGGCACAATTAGGAGGTGGGAAATACATAATAGATGTATTGTCCCTCTAATTATTACCCCTTCCACTCCCACTCCACTCCCCCTGCCAATTTCCCAGAAGAAAATGAGATTTGCAATCAGTGGAAGTCTTAGAACTGTCCAAACACACGAACTCAGCCATGCTGGCAAAGACCCAGCCACCAGGGAGAGTAAATGTCAAAGGATTTACCTACCTAGGAAGAGAGTACAAACACAGGTGGTATTGCCATTCTGGTTTCTGGTCAGTCCTGCTGCTTACCTGCTCTGTGTCCAGCCTTCTTAGGGAAATACACTCATGCACCTTTGGTATTTCTTAAGCAGTTTACCTCTGTTGCCTGTGGTTGTTCTCTTTTTCTGGTGGGTGCTGGGCCTTCTCCCTTTACTCACCCTACCCTGTTGTGCCCTCATCCTTTCTTCTTGGCAGTCTGCTGGTCCTTTGTGGCTTGCTCAGTCATTCCTTCAAAGTGTCTTTCACTGTAACTTGATGTCACTTTCTGTTCCTTCCTGTGTAATTCTGGGTAATTTTAGAAGCAGCTGAAAAAGTCACCATCCCATCAGAGAAAGACTGTGGTTCCGAGCCTGCCCTCTGGAGCTATGCCCGGCAATGCAGAACTCAACACAAGAGTGCATTGGGCTGGGAGGCAAAGCTCTCTGGTAGAGCCCCTCGGACCCCAACTTCTGGGCCAAATAGAAACTGTCAAAATTCAACTTCCTCGTAGAGTACACGCTTTCCCACAGATTTTCTTAAAATAACAGAGATTCTCTTAATTTGGGGGAAATGATCTTGTGTTTTTGTATTAAGGAACAGGGGGACACCATGTCACTTCGTAGGGCCTTTTCCATTCCTAGGGTTGTGGGATGTTTACACAGAAATACACCGATGTGCATACTTGCCCAAAGCAGGCAGGAGCTAACTACCCACAGGCAGATACTTAATGATACTCAGTTAGACCATTTTCTTTCTCACCAATTCTTCCTAATATCCCTGCTCCAAATTTTCTTCTCCACTGCCTGTCATAAAGACCATTGTGTATCCTTAGAGTCTTGCATACTGTATTAGTTAAAATTATATTTGGCTGTTGGTCACACAACATAAGAGAAGATTAAAGGAGATGGGAATTTCTTTCTCTTTCCCTCATATTAACATCCAGGGGTAGGAAGTACAGAGACAGTGTGATGACTGCTCCATGGAGTCCTCAGGGACCCATGCTCCTCTGTCCTGGAGTTCCAACAAATGTGGCCTCCACATTCAAGATCAACCACTAGTGTGAGATGGAGCTCCAGCTGTCACATTCATATGTAAGCAGCAGGATGGACACTCTGGGTGACGAGGCTGCCACTTTAGGGAAATTCCCAGAAGCTGCCACATGACATTTTCACTCTCATCCCATTGGCCAGAGCTTAGTCACATAGCTACACCTTGCTGCAAAAGAGGCTTGGAAGCATCATCTCCATCTAGGTGGCCATGTGCCAAGATAAATATTTAATTACCATAGGAAGAGAAGAAAGCGGATATTGGGGAACAACCAGCAGTCTCTGTCATACGGACTTACTGGAATTCCAAGAACTATTAGAATGTAAATAACCCAAAGAGTGGGGTTCCAACCTAACTCATTGCCACACTGTGTGTTTGTGGGAATTGGCACCACTACAATAAAGCATATTTTATGAGAATGGGGTTTATGCCCAGGGGCAGGCAGAGAGGACAGCTAAGAAAGGGGCTGCCAAGAGGACCAATGGCATGATCATTCATCGATCTCACCTTCTTCACAGTTTTTCCTAGGGCCCTGTGTGTGTGACCTCACCCTGCTCGACATCAGGAAAAATGCCTATAAGAAATAAGTATAAACCACGAATTCTGTGATAGATCCTTCAGGGCTAAGTGACTACTGCAGTCCATGGCCAGCATGTAATCGAGCACCTATCAAGTGCTAGTCACCAAGAGTTAATTCTCACAGCAGCTTATTTTGTATCATTATGCCATTTTACAAATGTGAAAACAGGATCAAGACTTTAAATAACTAAATCATATAGGTCAAAAGAAAAAAGAGATGTTTAATCCACTGATCTCTCTCAGCCTGGAACAAGAGGCGTTCACGGTTTCAAGCATCTACCAATGTGTGTATCGACTTTTCATAAGTGAATCGTGTAAAAGGTGCATGTGGGATGGCAGTTTCTAAAAGTTGTGAAGAGTTTTGTAAAACAGAGACTAAATAATAATAAAAACAGTGCCTTCAAATTTATTTTGGAAATCCAGATTTTCATATGTCACATTGCAATGGACCAAGATGCTTTTCTGTTTGCTCATCTAAATATGCCTTGGCAATGAGAAAGAATGAAATCTGGCCATGTGTAGCAACATGGATGGAACTCGAGGGTGTTATGCTGAGCGAAATAAGTCAGGCAGAGAAGGACAGATACCATTTGTTTTCACGTATAGGTGGATTAGGAGGAACTTAACGGAGGACCATAGGGGAGGAGAAGGGGAAAAAATAGTTGGGGAAAGGGAGGGAGGCAAACCATGAGAGACTCTTGAATGCTGAGAACAAACTGAGGGCTGATGGGGATGGGGGGAAGGGGAAGGGGGTGATGGGCATGGAGGAGGGCACTTGTTGGGATGAGCACTGGGTGTTATATGGAAACCAACTTGACAATAAACTATTTAAGGAAAAAATTTAAAAAAAATAATTACTTGCAAACTTTAAAAATAAATAAAATAAAATAAATATTCCTTGGATCATGGGATTTAATTTTGTGGTGAAGCAGCTGTGATTTTTGTTAATAGTGTTGCAAATGTTTATGTCATTCAACTGATGCTACTTTTTTGACAGAATGAAAATATGAAGGAGGATGACCTTTCGATGGAACAAAATGAAAATGACCCAGCACAAATAAGTCTCTGCCAGCATGCTGATAAGCCTGTCAAGCAGAAAAAAGAGAAAGGGTAAAATTAAATCGTTTTACTAAGGACTGAAGGAAATGGATTAAACACTGTGGGGAAAATTGAGTCACTGATTAATAGGTAGGTTACATGTTAACTCGAAAATATTTGAAGCTGAAATAAAAGCAAGGCTGTTAAAGCAGGTCAGACAACTAAATTAATGTTTCACCCTAGGTAGGACTGGGTTTTTAACAAGAGCGATTGCTAAGAGAAATTTTTCTATATTTATACATACAGAGTAATTATTTTTCTTCTAGTTCCTTTTTAAAGAGTAGCTACTGTGAAACTCCCTTAAGTTAAATAAAATGACTTCAGTTTGGTGTAGATGAATTTTCCGAACTACTTTGAGGTGGAAAGCATTAATTCTGTTTTTCCTTCCTGCTGAAGATACAGCTATGCAATGGCCCTGCAACTGCTCGGCTTAGACGATGAGACTGGGCCCAGTGATAGGGGTCCTATCCTGACAAGGGGGACCTACCTGTCCTTTCTGTATCTGCGCCACCTACGAATCAGGGAGCTGCAGGTACGTGGATGGCCTGGCACACTGGCTTCAGGTATCCCAATGTTGGGATGTCTCCCAAGGCGGCTTTCCTGCTCTTCCCAGGAGCAATGCATTTTTTAAAATGTTTTTTTATTTACTTCTGAGAGAGAGAGAGAGACAGCGTGAGCAAGGGAGGGTCAGAGAGAGAGGAAGACAGAATCTGAAGCAGGCTCCAGGCTCTGAGCTAGCTGTCAGCACAGAGCCCGACGCGGGGCTCGAACCCACGAACCGCGAGATCATGACCTGAGCTGAAGTCGGACGCCCAACCGACTGAGCCACCCAGGTGTCCTAGGAGCAATGCATTTTTACACTTTGTTCTTTGTCTGGATTCTTCCGCAAAAGCAGGCCATTCTGGGAGCGGTGTATTTCTCTCTCAGCAGTAGGGATGACCTGCCAACCCCACTTAGTTTCACTCTGTTGTGTGGGGCTAGCAAAGGGCAGGGGCCTGACCTGGTGTTTCTTTGTTTCAGCGCGTCTGTTTAGGAATTCTGAACTATTTCAGATCCATCGAGCGAACATTGACAATCAACACTTCAGGCCTTACCATGGTTGCAGGGAGCCTGGTCCCCACCATAGAGGACAGTTCCTGGGTCAACATGACAAAAGGAGGCTTGGGCATCTTGCAAGGCCTAGGAGCTCACCACTATGTCCATGGGACATCTGCTGAGCACAGGGTGAGGTCAAGATTCTGAGATTTTTTTCCCTCCCTTGATTATCCTGTCTCCTAAGCTCCTTTCTTCTTACATTGCACCTGGAATCAGTTAACATGATGGAGTAACAGGTGGGGGGTTCTTAGGGATACTTTTTTTTTTTTAATTTAATATTTATTAATTAAAATAAAAGTTAATGTTTTTTATGTTCTTAAGTTTTTTAAGTTTTAATATAATTTATTATCAAATTGGCTAACATACAGTGTGTACAGTGTGCTCTTGGTTTTGGGGGTAGATTACCATGGTTCATCACTTACGTACAACACCCAGTGCTTATCCCAACAAGTGCCCTCCTCCATGCCCATCACCCATTTTCCCCTCTCCCCCACTCCCCCATCAACCTTCAGTTTGTTGTCTGTAAAATGTAATGTTTTTTAATGTTTCTTTATTTTGAGAGAGAGAGACAGAGTGAGAGTGGGAGAGGGGCAGAGAGAGGGGGAGACACAGAATCTGAAGCAGGCTCCAGGCTCTGAGCTGTCAGCACAGAGCCTGAAGCAGGGTTCAAACCCATGAACCATGAAATGATGATCTGAGTGGAAGTCAGATGCTTAACCAACTGAGCCACCCAGGTGCCCCAGGGAGACAGCTTTTTAGAAAAATACTCCCTTGAGAGTAGGCAGAGAGCACTAAAAGCAGCCCTGAAGGCCACCTGAGGAAGGAAGGCATTTCAGCTGCTGGTTTGTTGACTGTATAGTGAGCAGAGCATGAGGAGACCTTTCTGTTATTCTAGCCTAAGAACCACATGTCTTTACAGAGATGCTCTCTTAAGACCCTCTTGACATTGTCAGAGGTACCCTTCTGCCTCTTTCCTGTTTTCCAAGCCCCAAGTGAAAATATAGATTAGAAAGCAAAGGTAGAAATAAATTTGAAAGAGCTGAACGATTAAATATCGTTTATCCCTGTAAAAGCGTGTTTGCCCTTTGGTGCTTTTAATATCTCTTGAGTATATTTTTCTATAGTGCACAAAATTCATATCAACCCCCTTTCTTTAGGAATAAAGTTAAAAGTGCCTACAGTTTCTTGGAATATGGTAGACACTCTTCCAGTATTTATATCTCAGTCTCTAGAAAGTTTATTCCTGAAGGTAGGATTTAATAGGAACTTAATCTTCTTAAAAATAGCTTGACAAATGTGAAAAAAATCTATTCATCTGCCAAACAAGTTGAATTTTAAGCTCATATGACCCCTGACTTAATGCTTGTCATGTTTGTAAGGCTGAGGAATCTTATTATCAGCTGTCTTCCATAGGCAGTCTAGAGTAGCACTGTCCAATAGAAATACAACACAAGCCACGTATATAGTTGATAATATTCACATTTTAAAAGTATAAAGAGGGGCGCCTTGGTGGCTCAGTCAGTTGAGCTACTGACTCTAGATTTCGGCTCAGGTCATGATCTCATAGTTCCTAAATTCAAGGCCCTCATTGGACGCCACCACACTGACAGTGTGGAGCCTACTTGGGATTCTCTCTCTCTCTCTCTCTCTCTCTCTCTCTCTCTCCTCCTCTCTTTTTGCCCCTCCTGTGCACTCTCTCTTTCTCTCTCTCAAAATAAATAAATAAATAAACTGGGGACTCCTGGGTGGCTCAGTCAGTTAAGCATCCAACTCTTGGTTTTGGCTCAGGTCATGATCTCATGCTTCATGAGTTTGAGCCCTGAATCAGGCTCTGTGCTGACAGTGCAGAACCTGCTTGGGATTCTCTCTCCTTCTCTCTGCCCCTCCCCGCTCCCAAAATAAATAAATCCACTTTTTTTTTTAACATTTTATTTATTTCTGAGAGACAGTGAGAGGAGGGGAGGGTCTGAGAGAGAGGGAGGCACAGAATCTGAAACAGGCTCCAGGCTCTAAACTAGCCGTCAGCACAGAGCCCGATGTGGGGCTTGAACCCACGAACTGTGAGGTCACGACCTGAGCTGAAGTCGGATGCTTAACCGACTGAGCCACCCAGGTGCCCCTATAAATACACTTTAAATAAATAAATAAACTTTAAAAAATAAAAAATAAATGCATACATATGAAATTAACTTTAATCATATAATCTATTTAACCCAATATATCCAACATATTATCATTTTAACATATAATCGATATAAAGAAATAATTGATGAGATACCATACATTTTTTTAAATGTTTATTTATTTTTGAAAGAGAGATGCACACACAATGCAAGCAGGGGAGAGGAAAAGAGAGGGAGACACAGAATCTGAAGCAGGCTCCAGATTCCAAGCTGTCAGCACAGATCCTGACATGGAGCTCAAACTCATGAACCGCAAGATCATGACCTGAGCCGAAGTTGGATGCTTAACCAACTGAGCCATCCAGTACACCCCTAATGTACATTTTTTAGACGAAGTCTTCAAAATGTTGTGTTTACCTTATATATACAGCACATCTCCACTCAGACAAATCACATTTCAAGTGCTCAATAGCCACATGTGGTTAGAGGCTACTGTATTGCACAGTAGAACAGCTGTAGATATTGAAAAACATTTTATTTTCCCCTCCAGTCACCTAGGGTCCAGGCTTCACTCAGTATATAGGAAACTTTTCTTTTTGGTCTCCTTCACTAACAAGTATCATCCCCCATCCCCTCCTCATATACATTTTTACCCCTCTGCCCCTCTCACTTCATCCTAGCTCATAATTAGTCAAGTCCAGTAAGTATGTCCCTCAGTGGAGCTAGAGGGCAGGGTAAGATGCTTCTGAAACAAACACACCTATAAAGCAAATACATCTCTCTCTTGCTAATATTGAGCCAACCTCATACTACAGATGTGCTGTTATTTGCTAATAGATTAAAAAAATTTTTTTTCTTACCACTGAGTTCTCTTCCAGTTTGTTTCTTCTGGGATGGGGCTTGGGGGTAGACGTGAAGGAAGGGAGGAGAAACAAATCCTATCCTGCCCCATCAATGGTAGAAGGAGCTTCTCAAGGGTGTACAGTATTATTATTCTCAGCTCTCATAAATGACAGCAATAACAGCTCCCTTAGAAGCTGCCAGAAGCTGTTGCTATAGTGTGAGAAACTCCAGGAGGTGGCCTTCTTTCAGAGACTTTAATAGGACCTTGTGGTTTAGCTCTCTGTGTGTGGCCTCGTCAACATTTAAACTAGAATGTCCAAGCCTAACTTTGTGATTCCTTCCCCTGTAGGGGATGGGAGGTACAGATGCTAATTTGTTGGGGGTGATCTCATAAGGCCCAGGGCCAAGACTGGGACCAAGATCATTGGACTTACCAGCCAGGGGAGCTGACACTGGAGAAGCCCCTGAGATGGAGATCTCTGCCCTGGATGGAGGAAAATCTTGGGCTAGCATTTATAAGTGGTCACTCTATGACAATACCAGAAAAGGAAAGCACCTACCACCCATCATGGGCACTTTATGCATTTACTTTAAGCATGTGGCAGAGTAGAAGGAGCCCTCAAATGAGACATAACAGGCTTTTCCTACATGTCTGACCTTGAGCAAGTCTCTTTTGACATGGAGGCCTGACGTCCCATGGCATGTTCAGGATCTGCCTGGACCTGGGAGGCTAGCAGCAGAGGCTGTTAGGAGTAAGTAGAGGGAGATGAGACTGCAGAAAAAAATCAAGCCAGACCATTAAAGGCGAGGCACTCTTTAGGATAGGAATTAATTCCAAGGTTGGTGGTGAGTAGAGAATTTTAAATAAGACAATGGCCCTCTTCATTGCTTTGTAAGTTTCTTCCAAATCATTGCCCAAATGTAATCATGTTCATTTCCTTGTCTGAAATCCTTCATGAGTATCCTGTTTCTCCTGAGATAAAGTTCAGCCTCCTAGATGTAGTTTTCAGGCTGGGCACAACCTGGCCCTGCCAACCTCTTGGGCCTCATGTCCCTCCACTGTCTCCATACTTCCATTCTTATGAATCTGGGCCTGGCCCTCTTTTCAATGGGTAGAGCTGTTCATGCCTCTGAGCCTTGCACATATTGGCCCTTCTGTCCTTTACTTTCTCTTTTCCTGATAAGTACCTACCCTATCCAAGAGTCCATTCAAATAACACCTCTCTGGAAGCCTTCCTTGTATCTCCGTGCAAAGCTGCACGGTTCTCCCCATGACTTGTCTAACTCCATTATAGCACTCAGCTCATTCATTCCTTCATACACTCGCTCATTCATTCCACAAATGTTCTGATCAGTAAATTTACTAGGCACTGATGATACAGCAATAACCAAAACTGGCACAAATCCCTGTCACCATGGAACTCTTTAGTGGAAAGAGAAAGGCATTAAACAAATAAGTGACATATATAAAATATCAGATGATTTGGCACCAAAGCTTCCTCAGACTTCCTAGTGCCTTGCAGTTGGGGCCTAGTGATGAGCTTTGGCCAGTGGGCTGTGAGTAGAAATGATGTCACTTCCAGACCAAAGCTTTTTGGTTTTTATTTTAATGTTTTTTTTTTAATTTTATTTCTAAGAGAGAGAGAGACCGCATGAGCAGGGAAGGGTCAGAGAGGGAGATACAGAATCCGAAGCAGGCTTGAGGCTCTGAGCTAGCCATCAGCAGAGAGTGCGACACAGGGCTCGAACCCACGAACCGTGAGATCATAACCTGCACCGAAGTCGGATGCTTAACTGACTGACCCACCCAGGTGCCCCTAGACCAAAGTGTTTAAGAACTGGTCCTTGACTTTTGAGCTCTCTTCACTTGCTGCAGCCAGTGGAAGGTGCATGTTGAGCTACAAAATAGAAACATCCTAGATCGCTGGGTGACTGTTGGAAGATGGCTGCCTAGCAAGCAACATGTCCTGCAGTGGGCTCTGCATGAGTGAAAAATTAATTTTGACTGTAGGTCACTGAACTTTGGAGTTATAACAGAATAACCTAGCCTTTGTATACTAGTAAAGATGGTGATAGGCACTATGGAGAAAAATTAAAAAGGAAAGGGTGATAGAGGTGGAGGCTGGTGATAGGATGTTTCAGTTGTAAGTAGGGTGGTCAGGG